AGCTCCCCCTCCTGGTCCAGTTGCCCCTGATTTGTATCCGAACCCATGGCCAACTGATCCACAGCCCCCCCAGTATGGTGCTTATCACTCCCCGGCCCCTTATGGGCAGAGAGGTTCCCCATTTGGAGGAAACAGAGGTGGTTTCAGGGGAAGGGGTCAGATGGGAGGTGGTAGGGGAGGCCAGATGTATGTTTGTTTCCGGTGTGGACAACCTGGACACTGGGCTAAAGCGTGCCCTTTGAACCCGGCTGCTGGAAGAGGCAGGGGAGCCCGTGGTGGGCCCTATCAGCATCCTGGCCACAGAGGTGGACCTCGTGGTGCTGTAGTTGGAGTGCCCCCGGCCCCACAGATGCCTGTGATGGGGTGGGAGTACTACGAGGGTGGTCCCCAGCTATAGGACACCCCACAGACTGCCCAGGACGGTGAAGGGACAACGGCGGACCCTATGCTGTCCATAACTGTAGATAGAAGAAGAAGCAGCTTTTTAGTGGACACTGGAGCTACGTACTCCACCATTAAGGATGTTGCTCGTGAAAGACTTACTGACAGAGTGATTACAGTGGTGGGCATATCTGGGGAACCTAAAACTCTGCCTTACACCGTGCCCCTCCCCACAACGGTTGGAGATCAGACCTTGTTACACAGCTATGTTTGTTCAAAACAGGCGCCTGTGAATTTACTGGGAAGAGACTTGTTGATTAAATTAGGAGCCACAATACTCTGCTCTTCACAAGGCCTAACTGTGACTCTCCCTACTGGGGTTGTACTTCCCTGCTCTGATGGGCCAGAGGGAGGTGGTCAGTTTCTGCTGCAACCCTCCTCCTGTTTGGCGGACTCTGCTGACATCTACTGGGCATTATTGGAAGTTGAAACACCTGCTGAACCAGGAATTTGGACTGCTTTTCAGCAATGGCGGCCGTGGCTCTCACTCCTACATCCTTATGTCCCTCCCCCTGACCCACCTCATGTTACACTGTTTTATGACAGGCATGACACCACCTGGTACCAGCACATGTTCCAAAAGCAGTGTGAGGGGCGGGCTTGGTCTCTGAACATGTCGTGCATTTTTGCGGCACCTGAGGGGGTGGCAGCAGCGGTTACTTTTACAACAGATCAATTACAGTGGTACATGATGTCTGATGAGGCAGCTCCCCATGTGTCACTGGCCTTACATCCTGGACACCAGGCTAAGGAGCTGGGTGGAATGGTTAAACGTTCCCTTGCGGCCACTGACTGGACACCTACAAAACTCCCACAGGTTTTGTTTTCTCCATCTACCAAGACATACCAAATTTTAAATGATTGCTTTAATTCCTCAACACTGCAACATGAAGTGGTCAGCGGTCACATGGAAGAGAACACACAGACCACTGTGATGCTGCGGCTTTACTGGACTCTCTTCCAGATTGTTTGTGGTCACTTGGACCCACAGATGTAGGTTTAGTTGATGTGGGGCCAGTCTCTTTTCAACTGTCATCTCTACCCCTCTTGTGGCAGCCTCAGTACCCACACAGACCGGAGGCTGAGGCTGGGATTGCAGAAACAATTTCTGGTTTGGTCACTACCGGTGTCTTGGAGCCCTCCTGCTCTAAGTGGAACACGCCCATCCTACCCGTTGAGAAAAAAGGCACGGGGAAGTTCAGAATGGCACATGATTTGAGAAGGATTAATGCCTTACTTGGCACTTCTACTTTGCCTGTGCCTAATCCTTATGTTGCCTTGGCCAACCTCCCACCATCTCATGCCTGGTTCACCTGCATTGACTTGGCTAATGCCTTTTTCTGCCTCCCACTTCGTGAGTCACTGCGTGACATTTTCTCATTTACATTTAGAGGCCGACAATGGCGTTACACTCGCTTACCACAGGGATTTGCCCTCTCCCCAGGACTGTTTAATCAGTGTTTGAAAGAACTTTTACAAACCTGCCCACTACCATCTGACTGTATGTTAATACAATATGTGGATGACCTTTTGCTGTCTGCCCCCACGGCTGACATCTGTTTGGAGGCCACCGAGTGCGTACTTCACCACCTGGCCAACACAGGTTTTAAAGTGAGCAAAAACAAACTCAGATTGCAAGAAAACAGGTTTCTTTTCTAGGCCGCATGGTCTCACAGTCCGGTATTTCCTTGTCCCCAGAACACAGGAACTCCATTTTGCACCATCCAAAACCTCTAACTGTAAAAGACATGTTGTCATTTTTGGGCCTGACTGGTTACAGCAGGACCTATGTCCCAGACTATGTTGGCCTTACTTCCCCTCTGCGCGTTTTGGTAAATGAACAAGGCATGAGAAACCTCTCTGCTCCCCTCTCATGGACTACAGAAACAGAACAGGCGTTTATAAAGTTAAAACAACAGCTTTCTGTCGCCTCTGACCTTGCTGTGCCAGATTACACCTTGCCTTTTCATCTTGATGTTTCTGGAACTGGAACCCATATCAATGGTATCCTGTTCCAGAAAAAAGGGGGAGACAGAAAAGTGTTGACATATGTAAGTGTAATGCTTGACAACACTGAAAAACGCCACCCACCGTGCACACAACACGTTTCTGGACTTGCAAAAATCATTCAGAAAACAGCACACATAGTGATGAACCACCCACTAAAAATTTTGACATCACACAGTGTGGTGGCCTACGTCTCCTCACAGGCCTTCACACTCACTTCACTCAGGCAGAGACGCCTCAGTACCATTTTGGAAGCACCACACATCACCTACTCACATGAAGGCATAAACATGGCTGATCACATGGGATCAGGGGAACCACATATGTGTGAAGAAGTTGTGCAGGTACAGGAGAAAATCAGGCCAGATTTGCAGGCAGAACCTCTAATGGATGCAGAAAAAGATTGGTTCACAGATGGATGTTGTTTCAGAACTGAAAGTGGAATGTTGAAAGCTGCATGGGCAATAGTGGAACAGACAGACATGAGATGGAAAACAGTGAAAGCAGAGCAGTTGACAGGACAACAGTCTGCACAGAGAGCTGAACTGAGAGCGGTGATTGAAGCCTTAAGGATGGGAAAGGGACAGAAAGTGAATATATACAGTGATTCAGCTTATGCTGTGGGAGCAGTGCATGTGGAGCTCAAAGCAGTGGCTAAGAGCTGGTTTTTTGACAGCCAGCGGAAAGCCTATTAAACATGAGACAGAAATGAGGGAATTAGCGGAAGCACTGTTGTTACCTGTTAAGGTGGCAGTGGTAAAATGCAAAGGACACAGTGCCGGATTGGACCTAGTGGCATTAGGTAACAAACAGGCCGACTTAGTAGCTAAGCAGACAGCTGGTTACTTACCCTCCCTGATTATGGTAATGGACCCAGAAGCCACACCCCCTCCAGAAAGACCACCCATACAACTAGGCCTAGCCACAATCAGAGAGCTACAGGACAAAGCCAGCCCCCAGGAAAAATCATTATGGGTAACAAGAGGGGCCACAAACACAGATGTTTGGCGTGGCCCAGATGGAAGGCCCATTCTACCGCCAGGGGTCAGACAGACAGCCATGGAAGAGGCACATGGAGTGGGGCATGTGGGACCTGCACAAATGATGAGGAACTTAGCCGCCTGGTGGCACCCTTATCTAAAAGACATGACAAAATACATGGTTAAAACCTGTAAGGAGTGCAACCAATTTGGAATCAAGCCCGCCTTCAAGCCAATAGCAGGGTACTTCCCCATCCCACTTTGTCCAGGAAAAGAAATAATCATTGATTACACAGACATGGTGGACAGAGTAGGTAGTTACAGGTACCTGCTGGTGGCTGTGGATGCATTTTCAGGTTGGCCAGAAGCCTGGCCGACAGCAAGTGAAAACAGTGGAACTGTGGTGAAGTGTCTGATTAATCATTATATACCACAGCATGGGTTTCCCGAGGTCATAAGGTCGGACAATGGTTCACATTTCAGGAACCACGATCTGCAGAGGGTTGAAGCCGCATTAGGTTTGAAACATAAGTTTGGCTCAGTTTACCACCCCCAATCCCAGGGGAAAGTGGAAAGGATGAATCAAACTCTAAAAACTAAATTGGCTAAAATCTGTGCACAGACCAAATTAGATTGGGTTAAGGCATTGCCTCTTGCATTAATGTCCATAAGATGCTCAGTAAATCAAACCTCTGGTTACACTCCATTTGAGTTGGAGCATGGCAGGCCTTTTCCTGGCCCCTCCTCTCGCCTGTTAATGTCGGATGAAGCTGATTCAGACCTCGATCCGAGGACATATTATAACATGCTCCGCAGTTTTGTTGCCCAGTATTCCTCACAGGTCGCGAAAGAAACCAGCAAGAGCTGAAAGAGGCTGCACCTGGAGTGGACTACGTCCTCCTGAAAGTCACAAAGAGAAAGTGGGCTGAGCCTCGCTGGACAGGCCCTTACCGCATAACAGAGCGGACCTCCCACGCTGTCAGGCTCGAAGGGAAAGGTGACACCTGGTTTCATTACACACAGTGCGCTGCTGCCACCGAACCAGGAAGAACCTTGAGAGAGGTGCAGAAGGACCTGTCAGAAGGAGCTGCAACAGCATCACCAACCACTTGAGGGAGCCAAAACTCAACCTACAAGCCGGCTGGTTACAAAAGGGGGTGTTCTTCATACTGAACTAAACATTTTTATTTTTCTATTTTTAACATCTTTTATGATTTTGCTTTTATATTGGCTTGAGTTTTTAAGATTTACATTTTACATTGCAATAGTTTTAATCGCTGAAAGCTCATTTAAAGTTGTGTCACTGATACTTTTTGTTGCTCTTTAACTCCTAGAACACGCCCTTGGCGAGGTGGGGGGAACTGGACCACCTTTCTGTGCCCCATCATCTTCTATTAGAAGACATACAAGCTAAGTAAACATGTCTTGGCCCTTTCCCCCTGAAATGACAGGCAGGCAAAGATGTTGCGTCTTTGTTTGCTTCCTGGCCCTGGGTCTCATTCCCATTGGCATAATCCTGATCTGTGAAGGGCCCCCGAAACTTCTGACACCCTCAAGTTCAAAAGCTTCGCCCCCTTCTGACAGTCCCAATCTGACAAATGTAGCCCCTAGGGTCTTGCCCACCACTTCCTCTCCAGTTTTGCCCACGCCCGATCCATTTAGAAAGAAACGAGACACGGTTACCTCCTGTACCCCAAGTACGACTAGAATGATTACTCTCTGTGTCCCCAACAATAAAAGTTGGGTAGTCGAAATAGATTTCGCTAGCTTTCCAGTCACTCCCGTCACCAAAGACCAAGGGGGAGATCTTTTTAACCTTGCAGTACATCTCTCCTCCTCAGTGTGGTATATAACCCTGGGAGGTTGGCATCAGTGGAAGTGGTCCAGTTTAGTGTCAGAAACGGACCTCGATTGGTCCAAGCACTCTAGGGGTCAGGCTTTGCACTGGAGAAACCAAAATATGCTCAGAATAGCAAAAAAACCGGATCTTTCAGGCTTAATTTTCACCCTAAAAGATCTGGCCTTGACCTCCTGTCAACAATTTATACTTGCCCCTTGGACTGATCGCACCGCCCTGTATTGGCAAATGGAAATATGTCCTAGCGTTGGTGCAGCTCCAAGCTCTGTAGTTAAAGATGATAATCCCACCTTTAATGGCCCTCCGGTGACATATACAAACGGGGGAGAACGCCGAATAGCTGAGACCGAATACGCATTGTAGAGACAAATAAAATGTCTAAAGATGACCTCTTCCAAATTCTAACCGGTATTTCTGGAGCAACAAACAACTGGTTACTACTAGCTGAACAAGCTGCTGACAAGACGGCTTCCGACTGCATAGTGTGTATGGGAGCCCGCCCCACTTTAAGAGTGGTACCGGCGCCAGTCAATAGTGCATGCCTCCTGCATCTTATGAACAATACAAAACGAGGTCATTGCTCATATCTGGAAAACCACTTTCCTAAAACTCAACGCTCGGTCTCTAATAAACCACCCTTCTTTTCCTCAGATGTAGCTGTGAACAATTTCACTTGTATTAACCTGACTGGCAATGCAGTAAAACTAGGTAGCTTGAACTCTTCTTGGTGCACTGAGATGACGGTTATGAAACCAAACTTCCGACCTACGGCTAGGGCTGATTTGTGGTGGTGGTGTGGCAATAACAAGTTATATGATGGTTTCCCTCGGGATGCGTCAGGTCTTTGCGCTCTCATAACTCTTATTTTACCTGTTTTAGTCACTCCAGTAGATCTCTCTATAGAAGTACACGAAGTTGGCCTCCCATCCTCCTCTGAACGCCGCTCTAAACGCTCTCTAATCCCAGGTTCAGCTCATAATCCAACCTATATTGATGCTGTAGGTATACCCCGTGGGGTCCCCGATGAATATAAACTGCGAGACCAGGTTAAAGCAGGATGGGCCTCTATACTTTGGATGGTTGAAATAAATGCGAATGTAGACAGAATTAACTACATTCACTTTAATGTGCAACTGTTGGCTAATTACACTCGAGATGGTTTTGAAGCTGTGCATGCACAGTTATCTGCCACTTCCCTAATGGCTTTCCAAAACAGGGTCGCAACGGATTTTCTCCTCGCAGAAAGAGGCGGAGTCTGCAGCCTTTTTGGTCAGGAGTGCTGTACCTTTATCCCCAATAACACAGCTCCTGATGGTTCCCTCACTAAAGCTATTACTGGTCTCACAGCTCTTACTATTAAAATGAAGGAACACTCGGGCGTTGATACTGCCATGTGGGACTCTTGGCTTAACATGTTTGGCAAATATAAGGCCCTTGTAGCTTCCATCCTAGTTTCCATCTCAGTTTTTGTTGCTGTCCTAGTCACCTGCGGTTGCTGTTGTATTCCATGCATTCGATCCCTCTTCCAGAGACTGATTGTTACAGCTCTCACTCCTGAGGATAAGGATCTCGCCCTGCAGATGCCTTTATTGGCTAGTCAACTTCCCACCTCCTCGCCAACGGATGATGAAGACTCTGATCGTGATGGTGACGAACATTATCGTCTTTCTCTTGTTTAAATGCTTCTAGAATGGTTGTTTCTCTGTGGTGTTTTGTATTAGGCTTGTTATTAATTGTTTCCCTCACCCACTTCCTCTTGAAGGATATATCTGGTTGAACTGTGTCTGGTCGGGTTGTGAGGGTTAAGCGATGTTCTCAGGGTCTCCGGACTTAAGCCTGAGCGAATGTGTACTCCCACCACTGGATATAAATTGTTTTTTTTCCACACCCCTTCCTCACGTTTTACCATATTCACTTTTGAATGTCCTTAGCAGTTACCGTTCTGGGTTTATTTTACTGTTGATTTATTCTTTCACATTTTCACGTTTATATCTCTCATTATTATAGTATACTCTGTACTCTCCACATTTTTATCATTACTTATGCTTTTTGGTTGCTGGGTTACATGAACTGTTAATTTTGTGTCACTACCCTGGTTGCACTGACTCGTTGTATCCTTGTGTGCAGGACAGCTGTTACTGCTTTCGTCTGGAACCGAGACTGCTTGCAGCCGACCCCTGGGCAGGGTGGTGCCTGGACTCTTTTCTCCTCATCTGCAATGACAGATAAAGACAAATGATAAGACCCGAGGAGTTTTTCGAGCCAGGCTTCGACACGTCTCTGTGTTCCTTTGAATGTTACTTATTTTTGTGTGTTGACCCATTTTAAGATGGGTCAAAAGGGGGATTTGAAGAAAATATAATCTGATTAAACATTATTCAGCTAAACATTATTCAGCTTTAAACATTGTTCAGCTTTAAAGTTACTGTGCAACTGTGTAATAAAATGTGCTCACGACTTTGGCCTTGAGAGCGATAAGAAGCGATCGCCTCATCCTGCAGGTGCAAGATATCTGCAAGCGAAAGAGGCTAGAACACCCAAGGCCGATTTCCTTTTATGGAGTTGTTTTTCTGCTAGTGCAGCACTTTCCTCACTCCCTCCTGTAAGTTTTAGAGAATATATACCCATCCTCACAGCAAATCTTCGGAATCTCCTGATGTGAGCTGTGTTGAGAGGTTGTCTCTGTCTCAATAAAAGTTCACTGATTCCCCATCCTGCAGGTGTCCTGTTGTCTTCATTCTCCGCCAGCCTGGTTAAGTCAATTCCTCCTTAACATCTAAAAGAACCTATTTAATGAAGGAAGACGGGTTCACTTTGTGTTTAATATTATTCTATTGCTTTTGTTGTTTTTTTATCCCAAGAGATTGTTGCAACGTCTCAACTGGACAACCGAAAGAGAAAGAGACATCGAATAGAGTGCTGACACCAAAAGACCAGTCAGTCGTGGGCAAAAAGATGACAGTCAATAAAATTCTAAAAGATAATTTATTGACAAAAAATATCAAGAGATAAAAGATAAAACAGTCCAGTGTCCCATTTATGATCGTATATAAAAAACACACAGTCCCAAGGCCAGAGCCAGCTATGCCACACGGCCAGTTGCACTCCACGTGTTGCCTTTAACAGGGTTAGAAGTTGTCCTTGGAGACCCACCACCCTGCAAGCATATAGCCAGTGGTCACTCCAGCCTCTGCAACTCTGCTACCTTTAGGCTGTGGCATATAATAGGCCCTGGCCTGCACAGAGAGACAAAACGACACTTTCACTATAGAATTCATAGCACAAAATCCATCCATCCCAAACATATCTGATTTCATCACATTACATACCTGCACAGAGAGACAAAACGACACAGCAGTGTTTGTAGTTGGGCTATAAGTAGACCAGTGTATCAGTGCAATCAAGTACACCTGCCTCTAATTAGTCCAACCCCATTCCAGCCATTGGCTCACCAAAAATGTGACACACACACACAAAACCACTCCCAACCCAGTGCAACTTCACACAATAATATGGAGCTGAATTAACACAGGCACATTAGTCTACCATGTTACAGCCATATTCCATATAAATCAAGTATCATACAAAAATAAAAATAGCTTCAAATACAGTTCAAGACAATAAAAGAATATGACTTTAAGGACTTAACAACATTACTTCAGTTATAGTACACCAACATCTGTTATACATTAGCAACTAAGGGAACACTGAATGACCTGGTGGGTTTTGTCCATAAAACTACTCGATCTAAGATTACCACAAAATTATCAATTTCACCTGTGATCTTGTGTCACCATTGATCTCTGAGCTTTGTGTTGGTTCTTCTGTCACCTGACAAATAGGACATACATGACAATAAGAATAAAATGTGGAGCTGCTTCAGTGTTTCTGTCAGTTTGTGCAGATCTAGACTCATCAGTAATGTTTGTAGTGTGAGTGCATTTTAAAAACAATTTGTGCAAACTGCACTACAAGGTGGAATATTTGCAAAATCATGACTACTTTGTGATATTTTGTCTCAAAAATTAACCCTATGAAATTATCATTACCATTAGGATGAAATTATTGTGTCTCCAACATTTTAACGTTAGACATATAATTCTAACAGCCTCTGTAAACTAATATACTGGCTTGCTCGAGGCTGCTGTTTTCTCTGACACCTTCAATCAAAAATAGAAATGCTGCTCTGAGACTGAGAATAACTAATAGTGCTGCATGTTGTGCAGTTAGTTTCCAAAAAACGTTATTCGTGGTTACATACAATTTTAGACTGATGTGGGCCAAAGCCTAGCATAGCCTGTAACGTTATTGTGACGGACACATTTTATGAGTTAACTTGGCTTTAAGTGACTTACAGGTTTCTTTGAAAAACACTTTCTTATATCCAGGTTCTTCCTTTTTGCTGCCATCCTCCTCTCCTCCTTGCAGGTCCTTGCAGCGCAGGCTTGCCGCTGCTAAAACTAAACAGAGCTCCCTGAGAGGCACAGCCAATCACATTGCCCATATTTGTCACATGAGGTAGGGCTCCAGTAATTTAACGCTTTCTGCACCGCTGGGTGAATGAGACGCTGACAGATCGTTTTTTTTCTTTTTCTTTTTTCTTTCTATCGATCAAATTATTGGTGGGGACATGTCCCTTCCGTCCATGCCAAATCTACGCCCTTGCTTTATATACTGAAAATGATATCTTAAATTTAGATGAATAATTGTGAAATTACATCACAGGTGAAATTCTTTACAGCTTTACATCGGTTGTACAGTTCCATTGTTTTGTTTTGTTTTTTAAATTCTATCGCAATAGAGCCCAAATGCCTTTGTTTTCACTTTGGGGACAGTGGCTCTGTAGCTTCTGGATAAACAAACTACCAGACTACAAAATGCAAATTGAGGGGTGCTCGTGGTCACGTGACGCAATTGGACCGTTCCCCATGACCAACGTGTCAGGTTGCTAAGTTAGCTAGTAAGCTAGCTGCACTTAGCTGACCAAATGATGTGGCTCGAAGAAGAAGATGCCGCTTTGCGACGTGCCAGCGATAAGACTGTTAGCTGGAAGAGATGAATCGACTATGTCAAAAATTGTAAAGACAGCTACGTACTCGGACGACAGGCAAACAACGGTAAGCTGGGCCTTTTCTAGTCACTGTGCTGGCTTCAGCTAATACAGCAGAGTAAGCTAATCAGCTAGCGGTAAGTCCTCATCTTGCAGCATCAGCACCACCGGGCCAGCGTTACCCAACGCTCCGGAGTCCGTCCTGGCCAAAACAACAGTGTGTCTCACACAAATTCTGATACATGTAAGATCGTGCTTGTGAAAGCCAATCGCATCGTTCATAACTATAATATTAATGTAACCATTAAGACTTTTAGCCAAGCGTTAATTGTTAACGCTGATAGCGGGACCGAGGAAATCAGAGCTATAACCTCAGCGACCGCTGACAGCATGCTGTTTGTACGGGGACAAATCTGCGTTTTATATCAGGGTGCTAACAGCAATGGGGGCAGGAGATAGATGATGAGCTCAGCAGGTCAGCGTAAAGATTCTCTTGAAAGCTTAGGAAGGCAGCATGTTCACGTTGGTGTGGAAAAAAAAGAAACTTGTCAGTGTGCTGCTATGTTTGCTCAGACGGTTATTATTATTACAGAATGTAGTTCTCTGTTTAAATGTGCTCACTCCGGTAAATCTTTCTTCATTTTAATGCCAGGCTCATCTAATAGCCGGTATTTCTTCAGTGTTAAAAGAGTGAAATGTATGTTGTTATTATTATAATATATTTAATATTGTAAAAATTTGACCGATTTGAAAGCTTACTCAAAATGCAGTTTGATATGACAGCCAAAGCTTCCTGAAGAAACATTACTCTACAGATTATGTGACATTGCCCACTTATTCTTCCAAACAATATAATTTGAAGACAGATATTATGTGCACCTTACTGAGGCAAATGTGGGAGTTAATGATATTGATACTGCTGAATTGCTTTGCCTGATCCTATTTTTTAAGCAAGAAATAGTCACTTCCTATTGTGCACATCAAATACGTGAATGTTATGAGGCTCAGTGCTTAATCTGACCAAGCAGCACCTTCAAAGGTGGTGTATTTGGGATCTGATGATCATTGTTTTCCCATTATGTGACATTTGTTGATTTAAAAAACAAACAAAAAAAACAAGCAGAATAATCAGCAGTGGAAATGCTAGTACATCGCCGTACTAATTGTTGCTCAGAACATTTAAGACGTGAGGGCAAGACTTCACAGACTTGCCCTCAAGAAAGATCATTCCATGGCTCTAATTGTGTTATTTATGACTCTCACTCATAAGGGTTGTCGGTGGTTAGGGGTCATTCATAATTCTCCTGTCAGACTTTTCCCTGTGTTGTGTGATTCTGCCAGACAGAAGAGACTGGGTGTGTGAAGTGATTAGTAAAATGTCCCACTGGGGTTTTGTTGCTCTCTGGTTTAGCTCGTTAATGAGTGACAGGTGAAAAAGGATGAACACCAGCTCTTAGCCTGACAGTAAATTGAGCATTGTGCTCTTTGGCACATCATCCAGGTTTGTGATCAGACAGTCCAAAAACATTGGTCTCTTGTTTTTCCCTAATCACTTTTCTTTACTTTGATGGAAAATTTTATGAGGTGAAGGAAAAGATTATAACTAGTCTACCTAATAATGTGACAGTGGATGTTGTTGACATAGATCTGCTCTGTTGAAACTAATGTCCTGAAGGTGGATTACGAAAACCTTAACTTAGGTACTTAAGTGTCATGCTATGTTCTTAGTGTGTTTTTCATGCAGCCTATTTAAAGAAAAATCTCACTTATCAGGTTGTATTTTCTTAAAGGAATGTATACAAAGTGAATTGAGATGTTTGTCATCCTGAGGTTAGTTGTGCACTCTGTTTACTTGTATGTTCTCTTCCTGTTGGAGAGAGATGAGAGATGATTTCATTAAACAAAGGTCTGAAATATCATCGTCTGTAAATAATGGCTGTCAAATAACAGAAAGTACAATTTAACAGTATTTCAACAATGCTTATAATTATTATTACTTTTTTTTTTAAATGAACTGGAGGAACTCTAATAATTGGGTGGCTGTAGCTCAGGAGGTGGAGTAGGTGGTGGTTCGGTCCTTGGCTCCCCCAGTCTGCATGCCAAATATCCTTGGGCAAGATACTAACCCCAAGTTGCTCTGTGATGCATCTATCGGAGTATGAATGTATGTGAATGTTAGCTAGAAAGCACTTAAGTTGTTTTAAGTTAACTGTTACTTTAGGAGTGTTTGCATTCATAAATAAAATAAAAAAATAGAGCTTTTGAAAAGGTTTCCCGGTTTCTTCTTTTTCCTTACCTACATTTTACATATAAACCATCTCAGCAGGAGGAAAAGGAAAAGTTTCACATGTTAAAATATAAATGGTCATTCAAAATCTAGCGATAGGTCTGGGTCGCTAAAGAATGACATCTGGTCCAGATCTGGAACAATGTCTGCCTACTCTAGAGTTGGCCTGTGCTCTAAAGTAACGTCTGTGACTAAAATTAATAAATGATAATAATAATAATAATTCATAATAATCCTTAAAACAGATAATACAGCAGCACTTAAGTTGAGGCTACAAAAATTGCAAACTGGATAATAGCAAACCATCGATTTGCTCTGCTCATATACTTTATTGAAGATCTTTTTCTAAATCTGTGCCACATAATGGTTCTTTCCTGTGAACAACTTTATAACAAGCACATTGTATTTCAGCAGCGTGGTGTTGAGCTGTAATTTCATGCATGATATGGTCCATCCTATCACAGCTGACAGGGTAAAATGCAGGTTACACCCTTGCCAGTCAGTCGCGTGGCTAACAGATGGGCAGCCATTCACACTCACACCTACAGACAGTTTCAAATCACCAGTTAGCCTACATTATAATGCCAAAAGTATTCGCTTGTCTGCCTTCACACAGATATGAGCTTGACTGCCATCCCACTCTTAATCCATAGGGATTAATATGATGTTGGTCCACCCATTGCAGCTATAACAGCTGGTAAGGCAATCCTTACCAGAAGAGTTGAAGCTGTGTTTATGTGTGGGAATTTGTGACCATTCTTCCCGAAGCACATTTGTGAGGTCTGACAGTGATTTTGGATGAGAAAGTCACCTCTGTAGTTCATGCCAAAGGTGTCCTGTCGGGTTGAAGTAGGGCTCTGTGCAGGCCAGTTCAGTTGTTCCACACCAAACTAACTTATCATGTCTTTATGGCCCTTGTTTTGTTCACTGGTGCACAGTAATGTTGGAACAAGAAGGAGCCATTCCCAAACTGTTCTCACAAATATCATCCAAAATGTCTTGCTATAGCATTAATAGATTATTTTCACTAGAACTAAGCTGAGCTCAACTTCTGAAAAACAACCCCACACCGTAATCCCCCTTCCTAACTTAACACTTGGCACAATGCTGTCAGACAAGTACTGTTCTCCTGGCAACCATCAAATCCAGATTCATCCATTGAATTTGTTACTCCAGAGAAAACATCTCCACTCTTCTAGAGTCCAGTGGTGGCTTGGTGTACACCACAGCATCTGATGCTTTGCATTGGTTGGTGATGTAAAGCATGGATGCAGCTGCTCAGCCATGGAAGCCTATTCCATGAAGCGCTCTAAGCACTGTTCTCGAGCTAATCTGAAGGTCACATAAAGTTTGGAGGTCTTAGGTCTATTGACTCAGCAGAAGGCTGTGGACCTGTGCACACTATGTGACTCAGCATCTGCTAACCCCACGCTGTGATTTTACATGGCCTACTACTTTGTGGCTGAGTTGTTGTCCTTCCCAGTCACTTCCATAATGCCAATAACAGCTGACTGTAGACTATTTAGTAGTGAGGAAATTTCAAAGCTGGTTCATCCTGTCACAGGACCATGCTGAAGTTCACTGAGCTCATGAGAGTGACATATTCTTTCACAGATGTTTGTAGAAGCAGCCTGCATGCATAGATGCTTGATTTTATGCGCCTGTGGACATGGAAGTGATTGGAACACCTAAATTTAGGTGATTTAGGTTGAGTGAATATATTTCACAATATAGTGTAGCATGCTTGTCCTTGGACTGTGAGAGAAAGCAGGAGACAACCCAACATGCATGGAGAGCACACTCAAACTTCACATTTAAACTAGGATCTCAGCACAGCGACGAGAGAGAGGGGGCCAGGCTATGCAACCGGATTTGTTAATCACCAGTTGTTAGCCAGCGCACTAGAAAAGACGAATATATGAACTGAGACACAGAGTTGTGCTATATTCTTCTTATGGAGGCTGTTTACTCTGCTGGCTGACTTGTTTCCAGATTAGTCACGTTACCATAACTGAAACATGGTGTGAGGAAAACCATTTAATGGGCCATATTTCTTTATTAGCACTCAGTGGAAGCGACTGTCACATCCCACACTCATTAGCTGGTAACACTCAGCTTTCACACACTGGGTCATGTCCACCAACACACCAGCTTCCCAGAGGAGCTTATGGATACGGCACAAATGCGTGAGGCGTTTTGGCTGATTTGTGTCTAATACTCTGTTGAGTGAAGAGATTTATTCACAGTGGCTTCGTTAGATCAGTTTCACATAACTGTTAATATTTGATACACATGCGTCACGTTGGTCATGAAGAACAGCTTCTCACTCACCAGCTTGTTATTGAGAGCTTCCTATAAACAAAGCCAAGCGGTGTCAGGCTCCAGCGCAGCAGAGTCTTGAACTGATTGGATAGGCTTCTTACCTATCCAAAACACAGGCTGAAGGTGGAAGCACTTCAACCTGTGTCATACTAAAAAGACAGGCTATAACTTTACACTGTCAATTATTCAGAGACGTTAGGAGTCTCAACAATAGTGTCCTAAACGTGGAATGCTTTCATATGTGTTTAAAAAAAAAAAAAAAAAAACCCCTGAAGGGATTGAAATCTCTTAAATGACAGAAGCGGCTGCCTGAATGTTTACTCTTCCTGTTTGCAGTACTAGTCAAATACTTATTTTTAGGCCTCACAAACACAGACTGCTGGATGCACCAGAGTTTTTACACTTTCAGTCTGCCTGTAGGGTGCATGTGTATTTGGTACCACACATGAGTCAACGTGTTCACAAAGAATTGGTGGATGCATGAGTCTTGCGCTCAGTGACTGATAGAACTGTAAGACTGGTTAGATCACTCCTCAGTACCTTGTGATTTATTTTGCTGGAAAAATAAGAGCAAAATTTTCAGCATTCTGAAAAAACAGACAGGTTAGAATGATTTGAACATTTTGTTGGTGCACATTATGTTCACGAGATTGCTTGCTATTTTTTATTATGTGTTCAAAGCTGAGCTTGTGTTTTACAGCTTAGCACAGACTTGGTTGTTATTGTGCAGCCATCATTAGTACACACTTGTTGAGCTATTCACTCTTCTTTTATATAGATAGATAGATATATAGGTGTGTGTGTTTGTGTGGCAAAAAAGCAGGCCATTAAGGCCATTAGTAAATCTGGCCTGCAGCCTCGTTGCTCTTTGATTAAGCTCTCTGCATTAACTTCAGGGAGGAAGGAAAAGTCAAAGGTCAGGGAATCATTTGCCCATCAAAAAGTCAGCATGTGCGATACAGTGACCCTGCTCAATTTTTGATGGGTCTCACTGAGGCAGACAGCCTGAAAGGTGCAGAGTTTCACTCCTCCAGCAGTAGTTAGCACACGATGTTGAAGGCCTATTAGAGCTCTGGGTGTAACGTGAGAGATGGTTGGTCCCCAAAGTTAAATCGACACTCTGGAAGATTGGTGTGGCACAACTGTGATATCAGGCTACATGTTCAAGTAAGGTATTGGTGCTCTGAAAGAGGATGTGGTCACCTGAATAATTGATAAATGTGTCATCAGTCTTGTAAAACAGGAGAAATCGGAACTTATTGAAGTGGATTTGGAACAAATTATCATGCAGCGATTTTACTGCGTGCTCATCTTGTAGTCTTTGTGATTCTCATACTTTGTAATGCAGCAGCTGCTGCTGTTGTCCCCAGGCTGTATGCACCTGCTCCCAGAGGTGCAGTGGTCAGACCAACACACAATCTGCTGACACGGTGGCTCAGTTTGCACATTTCCCTCTCTCCCCTGGGCTCTCCTGCCAGGCAACGCTCTTATATCTCATCCGTGTGCACACCTTGTCACTGTTTGTGTTATCGGCACGAGAAAAGCTCCTGCTATGTTTTTTTTTTTTTCTCCTCCCACCTGCGTTTGACACAATGTTTATTCCCACCTTTCAGCCCGTGCCATGGCAGCAGGTGTCAGCATACTGAGTGACCTGCCTAACTCCATCGGTGGAGCCCGCAGTGGAGAGACCAGCACAGAGATGGAGGCAGGTAGGAGAGCTCTGCACCACACAAACAACACAGGAACAACACCTGCTTTTTATTTGGCAAGGAGATGGCACAGGACTGAGTTAGGAGTGAATTTCACGTCTGGTTGGGTTTTCTTTAATGTAGGTTTACGGAGCATCAAGATAATCCTTATTTTATTCTCAGCTCTTATATGCAAAACAGATGAATGAAAATGTGTGTGGTGTACTGTATGTAACAGGTGGATGAAATGAGAGTGTTGTCTGGCTATTCCAAAACTTGTTGAATGATTAGAGAGCCACTCAATTCATAATTGTCGATTCAAAGGTCACTTTGAGTTTCAAAAAACAAATATTGTGGTCGAAAACCTATGTTGGAGTCCAAAATCAGAGGCTGATGTAATGGTGGCTGGTTCCATCTTTTTAATACTGTCACTGTTGATAATGGGTTGGGAGTATGTAGAGGCAAATATATTGGGAAGTGAAGTTACGTTCCTGTCTCATTGGGTGTCAAATTGTGAGTTTACAAGCCTGGGGATTTTCACAGTGTGTACCAGCAATCTTTTTTCCAATATACACTATGTGAAGTAAAGTACTGGACAAGCAACAGGTTACATCTACAGGAGCTGCTCTGCCGTGGAAACCCACGCCATGAAGCTCCCAACATGCTGATGTTAATGCCAGAGGAGGTTTGGAACTTTGCATTTACTGAGTGTTGGCAACTTTCATGCACTATGCACCTCAGCACTTGGTGAGACTACTCTTTAAACTTTACGGGATTTTTCACTGCAAAGTTGAGCAGCTGTGGGTCGTAAACAATTAAATTCTGCAATAAAACCACTTGGAACCCCTAGAAGAGAAGACATTTCACAGACTGACTTGTTCCAACTGTGACATCCTTTTTATACTACTGTGCTTGAATTTAGTGAGCTCTTTAGAATAAACCATTCTTCCACAGATGTTTGTAAAGACAGACTGCATGCCTAGGTGTTTGATTTCACACACCTGTGGTACTGGGACTGTGGGCCAAACTCTTGTCCATGTCATGTAAGTTTGTGGTGTTTGATTTCTAAACTCAGTGAGTAAGGAGGCAGTGTTAGTAATGTCAGGGCTGCAGACCCCAAATCATCATCAGATTTATAACACGTGTTACCTGGAGAGGTACGTTTTCACTGAGCCAAGAAAGAAGAAGAAAGTTATATAGGGTCCGAGTGAGAAGGCACAAGACAGACAGCTTTCCAAAGCGATTCCACTGCTGTGACAACCATTTAATAAATATCTAAAAAGTGATGCGCAGGCTGAAAAAACAGAGGTTCCTAATAGTGAATCACTAACTCAATCACTCAAGTTAAAGTCTAATTCTCCAGTAGCCATATGATAGAACCAAGAAATATAAATTCAATTCATATATTGATTAATATGAATGTTTGTCTGAATGTTTTTGGCTTTCTGTGATAGTTTATTAGTACTGTCAGATGTCTGCCTGGTTGCACTGACTGAAAGACTGTAAGACAGACTGATCTGTGAAATATTACAGTAGGAAGTATGAAGGTGGCAGATTTTCAGCCGGTGTTGTTGAGGCTCTGTCCCTTGCAGCTAGTGAAAGCAGCTCTCACTTTTTTGTCAGCCAGCCGTCCTGCTGCTCCCATACACTCACAGAGCCCACAGTATCACTTCACCTTTTGGATGCAGTTTAGTGGTAGACTAGCTGATGAACTGTAGCGCAGCCTTCAACCACAGCTTGTTGTCTTAATTTTAACCAGTGCATTCACGTTGTTACAGCAGTTGAGTTTGTGTTTGATTTGTTGATGCAAAGACATAATTGCTCTTGTATGTGTGTTACATGTGTGATATATATATATATATATATATATATATATATATATATATATATATATACACATACACACACAAGAGACATGCATGTATATGTCACTTGCTTTGGGCCAATAACAAGGATTTCATTTAAGCTATCCTGTGTATAATTGACGATTACATTACGTTAATATGAATAGAAACTCACCTGGCTCTCCAGTACAGTTTTCTGCTGAATATATTTGGATCCAGTGCACTTAGTTAATAATGATCCAGTCAAAAGCAGAAAAAGGTGTGCCATTGTACCTGCTGACTAGTGCCGTGTGTTCGTGGCTACTGTAGATGTACAGCTTTAAAAACCAAACAAGTGTGACATTTTACAAGCAGCCTGCCTGCCTCAGATCTGTGACATGGTGTGTGTGCGCACTGTGTGAGAACAACATAAGCCCCTGTCCCACCTCCCATTGACGACTTTGGAGATGGTTGTCATGGTGACACTTCAAATGCTACTGATGAACTGATCAGCAATGGGCGATTGTTGAGCCATGATTCATCATGGGCACAGAAGTGCTGAGCCAGGAGCCTTTGTTAGCACAGAGGCGCTGGCTGTGGTGTGCAGGCAGCAGCACTATAGGATGCAGCAGCATCAAGCATGCCGCTCCTTCGCCGGTGAGATGTTGGCCAGAGTGAAGTGGCATGACCGCAGACGCTCTGCCTCGGACATCCTGCTGAGGGTTCTGCAGCGTCAGTGCAGATCTGCCCTGGAGTTCCTCTCCTCCTCCTCCTCCTCCCACACGGTCATGGTGGCTGTCAGCATGAACCAGCCTCAGTCCGTCACCCAGTGCAAGACCAGCAGATGTAACCACACTGAAGAAAATGAGAAATGTTGCAATTTCTATGATATCTTCTTCTGCAAATGAAGAATTTCCTTATGTTTCTTTTTGTACCATTAGCCAATACAAGGGTCCCTACTGCAAAGTACACCAAGATGGGTGAGACCCTGAGGCATGTCATCCCCGGTCACATGCAGTGCTCCATGGCCTGTGGAGGGAAAGCCTGCAAATATGAGAACCCCTCTCGCTGGAGTGATGAGGAGCAAGCCATCAAGGGACTCTACTCATCCTGGTATGTCGATATCTTAGAGTGTCCATATAGTTTAAAGTGGGCAGATGTACAGATGTACTGTTCCTCTAGTGGAATGTTAAATAGCTGCATTTAATAGCCATATTAAATGGCCATTAACATGGCCACAATTTCAAATAATGAGGGCAGTGTATGTTTAAGTAAACCCTGTGAGGGTTGTCATCTCAGCCACACAGCTCTGACTCTTAGCAGGGCAACCAATCAAAAGGAAGTAGAGTTAAAGGGAGAAGAAGCTAAAACAACTTGTGTCAGGCATAGAATAAAGTGAGGGACTGCACCAAACATTCAGTATTAGATACTGAATAGTTTTTAGTATTGATATTGACCATCTTGCTGTTTTTACTTGTTCAACCTTTCATCTTCTCTTATTACAGGATTACTGACAACTTGCTAGCCATGGCAAGGCCTTCCACTGAGATCATAGAGAAATATAACATAATTGAACAATTTCAAAGGTCCATTCTATTTCTTTCACATCTCATTTAAAATGAACATCGTTATAAACAGAAGAACTATGAGACATAGAACAGCTCTGCGTGTCTGTGTTGACTTGTTTTGTGGACTGCTGTGCTCAGGTGTGGTTTGAAAACCGTTATTAACCTGCAGCGACCTGGAGAACATGCCAGCTGTGGAAACCCACTGGAGCAAGAGAGCGGCTTCACTTACCGACCTGAAACTTTCATGGAGGCAGGCAGTAAGTTCTCATATCTACTTACTGCTTATACACTGAACTGCCCCAAACATGGCCAAAAACGGTGTGCACGAGTAGTTGTGTGACTAGGTAATACCCTTTTATAATCATGGTGGAATAGCTTGTTTGATGGCCTCATTTCTAAAACTCTTAATGTCCACCACACTTAACTTTGCAGCTGGGCTTCATTCATGAGGTTAGCAAGGTTTGGCTAAACAAGTTGCAAATATAAATTCCATTCCTTCAGCAGATAATGTATAGTTCAGTTAAAACATGTGCAAAAAAACTGTACAAAAGCACAAAAAAAGAACAATTACAGTTATTCACTGTTATCATACAACACTGTGAAAAATGCTTATCCCACCCCTCATTCCCCTGTGCTCTGCTTCCACGTAACCAGACATTCTTTGTCAAGTTTTTTAAGCAGTCTTGAGCAATTATTGTATAGTTTTTTTTTTAATGTGCTAAGCACATGTGCACCTTTATAGAGCTGTTGTAATCTTGTTATACTGTGTATAATGACAATGAAGGCCTTCAGTTCAGTTCAATTCAATTCAGTAGTCGACCAGACCTGAAGGTCTTTTAAAGACTTTTCAATTTCCGTCCAGTGCTTGTACCTAGGGCTGGGCCATATTATACCGTTCACGGTAATACCGGTATAATGTTAGGCAACGATAGGAAAATGAAATATCGCGATAGAATATGAGTAAAACGCGCATGCGC